CATGTCAAGGCCCTATACCTTCTTTTTCTCTTTAAATACCCGTATTCTCTCCAAAGTAGCATCCTGTATCCGGGACTATCTCATGCCGCCATAGAAAGATTTTGAATTCTTTGCAGAAGCAATGCAAAGAACTACCTCGCTTTCCTTCTCTGAAGAGCAGGTTATGGGATTTGAATTTTGCTTCGCACGTTTAATCGATGCAGTTGTGTTTGATGCGTGTTCCTACAGCAACAAAGTCACAATTCCTGAAGGTGGTGCCTATTGTGGTTCACAGATATTTTTAACTTACCGCCACAGCCTCAAGAACAATCATCTGAACAAAATATCTGTGCTGGAAACAAGCCCCTCCCCCCCATATCCATTAGAATCCTAACTAGCCAAGTAGTTGAAATGACGCACAGCTCTCACAATCATTCTTCTTGCTTATCTAGAAGCTATTCTGACGCTCTCGTCGGCCAGCACCTTCATATGGACCTGGGAGTCACGCTAATTCTTTAAACCGAGGCGACCTTACACGCTACTGCTCAAAGCACGCTTTGCAACCCTTTTTGCATCCACAGCTTAAACGTTTATGTGAGCCAAATTTGGAGGTGTCAACTGTGGCGAGCATCACTGCACATCATGCATAGCTAATTGCAGCTGCCCTGACTTGACAACAGACACTCAATTAGAGCGGGGTTTTAACACAACTGTGCGTTATTCGAAACGTTCCTCTACCTCCACTTGCCGCAAAATTGCTTTTTTGAAATATCAAGCTACGTCTACTTAAGCATTGTTAGCGAATTGTGAAGTGGTCACCACCTTTTTATTATATCTCTCTTGTAAATCGTGTCAAATTCTGGCCATGTTTGTGTGGGTGCTACTTGTACATTTGTCGAACCAGAAATGTACATTTCATGCCTTGGACCTTTTAACTCGCTTTTTTATTGTCAAATTGTTGGTTCGGAAATAGCTAAGTGGAATTCCTGTTATGTTTGATGTCGATGCTCGCGCCTTTTAATCCGTTTGTGCTGAGTTTTGGCGGCCGAATTCCATCTGGTGTTCTCTTGGTAGGGACCTGGGTGGGCTTCTTAATCTTTGTAGATCATACGGCAAAGCATTGCTTTGTTTTGATGCTTCCTTCCATCTGCTTTTTCATTTAATGTTATGTTTTGATGTTAGGAATAAGCATGTTATCTTTCAGGCCTTCTGGTGCTTTCATAAGTTGCGCGTTTTACATTGCAAACTTGAATGACGTTTGTTATGTTCGCTGATTATTTCACTACCATTGATCGCAACACACGACGTTTACGACCACCACTTAATGTCATTGTAGGTAATGAATGACCTGGGGCTGTTGAAACCTGTTTGCCTGTTTGAACAATTTTTCGATCACAAACTCCGTCTCAATAATGCGCCCTGCGACGAATTTGCTCACTTCTCATGCTGTACTGGTGTGATTAGTACTGCAGTTGGTTCAGCAATTGTTTCTGTTGGCGCTACCTGTGTCATCTGTGGAATAAAGGTTAATTTAAATTACTTCTGATGCCCATCAGTTACTTGCTTTACGCAGTTCTTTAAATTATTCATTGATGCTATCTAGTCTCATTCATAAATTGACGCGAGCCATGCCGATTGTATAGGTCACTATTTTGTAAAAGTTATCCGACTCTTGGTAATCATTTTTGCAGGTGAAGGTGTTGCCCTCTTCCCCTCTCGACCCAGCGTCACTCCTTATTTGCAATATTGAGCATATGAGCTTGGCTCAACGGGGTCAGCGCATTAATCCGGCTCCATCGAAAGAGCTTCAGTCGCTTGCTGTTCATCTTGAGAGGATTCTCGTCTCGGTTGCGCTCCCTGCTATCAAAAGTCAGCTTCTCATCCATTCTGAAAGAGGAAATGGGCATAACGCTTTTCCCTCTGGCTCCTATTTGCTTCATATTGACAATACAGTTGTCTTCGACGATGGCTGTCTTCTTGACGCATGTTTGGCCGCCGCTTTGGCTGCTCTTAAAACGGCCTCATGGCCCCGCCTTGTCGCGGCTTCTTTGCCTATTCAGAACGTCGGCTCTGCTCTTTCGACTTCCAAAGTGGAGTTTAAGGAGAAGGTCCCTAATGAATTGGTATGCAAGAATATTCACTTTTCTCCATCTGTATCCTTGAGGATTTCAAACAGCAATAAGTTGTTTCTAGGACGTGAATTGATTTTTGCAACGCAGCAGTGGATCTTGTGTTTAGATCCTGCCACTCATAAATCGTGTTTGTGGTTTGGGATCATGGATCTGGGACTCATTTCGACGTATACAGCGCTTGGTCTTTCCTCCTGCTTAGGTGAAGCTGGTGTTGTCCGAGTGGCCGATGGCGCTTTCGTTTGCCGTGGTTCCACGCGCCCCTCCCAATGCCTCTCTTGAAGCTATTTTTCAGCCCTCTCGCAGCGAGTGTCTGTTATGGGACACTGATGCCTCCGCCTGTCGCCTTGTAGTGGATTCATGTGGCCGTGTGGTCGATTTTACAATGTTTGGTGGATTAGCCTCTGGCTTGTGGCGGCACCTGGGCGTTAATGATGGCAGCGAAAGCACCATTGGCAGTCTACTTAGGCGAATTGTAGTACGGGCAATCGAATATGCATCACTCGTGCGACAGCGGCTGATTGCCGACACGTAGCCGCTCAGGACTGCTATGAATTCGATGGATGTCCAACATATGGTGCTCAATTTCAATCACCTGATCAAAGATAAATAAAAGGAATGCGCAAGACGATAATGCTTAACTCATTACTGTGCCTTGTTTTGGAACGTATCTAATCTTGTGATTGTACTTGGCAAATGTTTAGAGGTTGAGTGTCGCGTGATTTGCTGCAAATCATTGCATGTATCTGTTTGTGCACTCTTGGGCATTGCATCTTGCTTTAGGGCCTCAACCATGGGGGCTGAACTATATTCTGTCGTTCGTGGACAGGTAGGTTCCTCTTTCCGCCATCAACTATGTTGGGAGTACATCAGTAACCAGAAATTCTTCTTATCATACATTGCCCTACGCCCAGTCAACTTACCTCAGTGACTTACGTGATTCTGATGTCGAATTTTTCTATCTGCCTATAGACTTTACAACCACGTTTATTTTGAGTGTACTCTTTCTTTGAAGCGGGTTAATAAGTAGGATGGCTTCCTTTTCCGATTTGGTACTTTTGCCGCATGACTATATGATTTTTATGACATGACGTATATTTTTGTATGCCACCAAGCCAAATAATTTGTTGACTGAGCATGTTCCAAAAATTGAAGTATTGCAATTCTCTCCAGATTTTTCATCTCTTCTCTTTTTCTTCTGCTTTCCGAATTCTGTTTCCCTTCAAGGTGGTCAGCATTAAAGAGTTTGGTGCATTTGTCAGCCTTGAAGGCACTGACAGACAGGGCTTACTCCACCGATCTGCCATTTCCAACCATCCAATCGGTACTGTGTCCGATATTCTGGACATCGGTGAAAAAATCTTTGTCAAGATAATTAGCAACAAGGTAATTTTTTGCACCAGTCTTTTGTAAGTTGCAGGATGGCAAACTGGGGCTCAGTATGAAAGTAGTCAACCAAACAACGGGGGAAGATAAGGACCCCAACAACCTCACCATAGCGTAGGTCGTCAGCTTTTCTTACTAATACCGGCTTGTGATGGATACCTTTGTTGATATGATGTAAGAACTCGATCATTGCATTCTCTTGTCGTACTCCCAAATTATCTGCTTCCGGAAAACATGCTTAATACTGAAAATGCTAAAGGTTTGGGATGTGTGCTTCGCAACTTTTCGTGTTTAACTTTTAAGCTGTTTTTGGCACACTGAAACATGATCACTGCAGTCACATTTCGTAAATTAAACTCCCGATGCGTTTGAATCGAACTGATATTACTTCTTTTGGTAAAGGTGGTTTTCAGGGTGCTTCAAAGTCCCAATGATTTTGTGCATTCCCCTCGATCAATCGCCGAATTGTAGAATCTAACTTTGTATCGGCTTTTCACATTCCTTCAGAGAAACGAAAAAGCGGAAGTGGGGTACTGTTCGTGGTCAAAGCCCCATCCGATTGGGGGCTGAGTTGAACACAGTATGCAAGCGATGTGGTGTTAAAGGTATATTATTAGGTTTGTTTGCTTCCTGTTTCACACATTGCGACTGCTTTCATTCGTTCTTCAAGGCCATAATGCATCTTCACTTCATTACCAATGTCTGGCGCGAAGTATACCTGAAATTCATATAAATTGCAAATGTTCCATTTTCACAATTATAGGGCACCTGGCGATTTCATGTTTTGCACAAACTGGGGGTGAATTTCTTGGGTTGGTGGCCTCAGATTCCGACGACAGCGAAGTGCTGTCGATTTCTGCATCTCAAAAGAATGAGAAAAAGAGGAAGAAGTGTACAAATCAACGTTATCCCTCTGGGATCAGGGTATTTAATTTTATCCCTGTGGAAATTGCTGAAATGAGCGCTATTCCTATTGAACTCTTGCCATTTTTTAGAAGCGAAGGGAACATGAAAGAAATGGGAGTCCGCCTGATGGTGCTGTCACGAAGGTAGTGGATACTTCGGAACCTCTTGCGCACTTATTTCCACTCTTAAGTTGCACATATATATATATATATCTATATATGCATACATATCTGGCAAGCCAGTAATGCAATTCAGAATTGTTGGGTGTTTTAGCATCAAAAGTTGGGTTCCCATGGTTTCCGTCGCAGAAAGCACCATGAATAGACCCTTCATGCCTCAGAATACATCCCTGTACATATTGTTCGAAAATAAAATGCACTCTGATGCATCTGACTGGGATCTCTGTTAGGTGAGTTGTGTGGCTTGAAATGCAGTCCTATAAGCCTAGCCTAGTTTCGCTGCTTCACGCGAAGAATGTTTTGTTTGGGGGTGAGGTGACTGTAATGTGGTCATTAGCTCGCTTATTACTGCTTAGATTTTTGCAGTTTTTAGGTTCCTAAATGTGTGTCTGAATTTTAGCACATTCTGGAAATAAGGTGGTTTTTTACTTTATCCACTTGTGTGTAGTGAGGCAGGTACGATAAACTGGTGACTGGTTTGTGTTTACTACAACAGTTGGGTTGGGCGTGGGGTGTAAAGTGCAAGAAGGGTGGGGCGACGCTGTATTGAGTCGTTATGCTATTAGGTGATTGTGGAAATTTAATCAAGAATTAATTCGCGTTGCCAGAAGTTGGACTTCGTGCAATGCCGTTCGTTTCACGATATCGTATCGTGATAATGATTGGAAGGCAGCCTCACCACTGAGCGAGCGTTGTTGTCTCTCGAGAGAATCGCCAGTCCTTTGAAAAATCGTAATTTGTAAGCGAGTTACCCCAAGCTGGTGTGCTCGACCCGAGAACGGTAAGGAATAGATTCTACCTCTTTCCACAAAGCGAGACTCGTTTTTAGCTACTTTATCCCGTGCACCCCAAATGGAATATCATTGCTATGACATTTTACTGGATGTCTATTTCTGATTCAGTTAAGGGCAAGCAAATAGTAGGTTAAATCCACTTTGCTATATTCCTGCTTCTTGTCCCAATATTGTGTATCCTTTTGCTACGTTAAATCCTAAACTGTCTATTAAATCGGTGTTCATTTCGAATTCAGAGCGAATCTATGAACAGCCCTGATAGGCAGTAGTCTTCGTAGTCCCCAGGTCAATTTCTCAAAACAGTCAAGAATTTAGATATAGCAGCATTTTAGAGGTCATTAATGATGGTGCAAAAAACACCTCTCCATTCGAATAGCACTCTGGTGCTTATCATGGGTAGTTTATACGTTTGACCGTGACGTATGCGTTTTTTTAGACAAAGAGGAATGGAATTAGGCCATAACATGGCCCTGAGGATGAACCACCTGGCAGCGGCAATATAATCCAAATACCTTGTTTATGTGATTGCCTGATGTTCGGCAGTGGCTTTGGCATTCGTCTGACTCTTGTACGTGTGGGTTG